ATCTCAAAATAATGTGTACATGTGTGTTTTTATGTTTTTTCATTATGAAAATATGTATTGTATGTTTATTTATACATAATAAAAACATGTGTTTGAGCGTTTAGTCAGGTGTGTATAGGTTGTAAATATACATTTTAGTGTGTGTAAAGTTTGTATATATGTGCGTATGAATTGTATGTATGTGTGTGCGAGTGTGTATGATTATGTATGATTATATATGTGTATGTGTGCGTGTATATGTGTGTGTGCGTGTATAATATGATTGTGTATGTGTGTATACATTGCATTCTGCTTGGCTTGAGTAATTAAAGTAATAATTTCACGGTGAAAGTGAATGATATAATTAATAAAATCGCCGCCAGTTGGATGCAAAGAAAGTAGGTCATGTCACGTCAATCATCTTCAACATGTCCTGCCCTAGTTTAATCATCCGAACATGTTCGTTCAATCATTCATTCATTTTTTTATTCATTTATCCATTCATTCATTCATTCATTCATTCATTCGTTCGTTCGTTCAGTTACTCGATCATTCAATCTGGAAAGCGTTCGATTAGATATGTTGATAGATGATGCATTCTAAGATAAAACTAAACCACACCACACACACACACACACACACACACACACACACACACACACACACACACACACACACACACACACACACATGCACACATAAACATACACACGTACACGTGAAAACACACGCACACATGCACAAACACACACATATATACACGCACAAAACATACTCACACACACACATAATTATGCTAATGACATGATAATACTACACAGCAAATATGCAATAAGATCCTAAAAACCATTACATAAAAATATGAAATTTCATAGCAAAATTTGTAATTTTATAGACACTCACACACACACACAGAAACACAGTTACACAAACATAACACACACACAGACACACACACACTACCACACCACCACTATTACTATTTATTGGTCTACTGCTATTGCTGCAGCTAATACTACACACGCACACACACATAAACCCACAAATACATGCACACACGTACACACACACACATACATATAAGCGATAGGTAAATAAGATTAATTATTCAAACCAACATATAAAAAGTAATCTATAGAAAAATAATTTAATCAAGTAAAACATATTTAATCAATTTTCAATTTTTTTCTACAACTGATTCTAAAAATTTATACTTTTATACACACATACACATGCACACACTCTCACACATACACAAACACACACACACACACACACACACACACACATATATATATATATAATACATTTTGGTTAATTTTCTTTGGTATTTCTATCTGAGTAATATCCAAAATATGTGTGTATTTTGTATTTGTTGAGTGTTTAGTTTTGTTTGTACTGTTTGTTGGTAACAGGTGTATAAATGAAAAAAAATGTGCATGTATATGTGTATGTATTTGAGTGTGTGTGTATGTGTGTGTATGTGTGTGTATGCGTAACTGCGTGTGTATTTATGTGTACCGTGCGGTGATAATGTTAGCAAAAAAAAAAATGAACTGTTTCCAGATGGTAATAATAAATTTTTCATGAGTGAACAATATTTACTAATAATATTTAATATTATAATAAAAATATTTAATAATAATATTTAAAATTATAATAAAAATATTTAATAATAATAATATAATAATAGTTCATGTAATACTAATAAAGTTTGATATATATGGTATGTATTTAAATATTCAATCAATTATTCGTCTTACGTAGAGAATTTTATGAAAATTGAACACTATAAAGCGCCACAAT